AGCCCAATGAATAGGAAAGTTGGATACACGCGAAATTTAATTGACGTCAATTTCGAATCTCGCTCACCGTGTTCAGTCTATTCTGCTTCCCATATAGGTAACCAGGGTAGCTCTGAGATGAACGTCTCGTAGGCTTCCTTCCAAATTACGTCTCCTGGAAGTTCTGCCCTTTCGTCAACACCGTATGCGAGCCCTTCTTGTATGCCATTCGGCACCAGAGAAAGGTACCCCGAGGACCATCCTTCGCTGAAATCAGAGTTGGGATCGCCGCCTTTTGCGTTGTCCACCTCGAGGTTCTCCGTAGGGACTTCACACGGAACTCTCAAGGCCTCGAACTCGGCTTCGGAAGTTCCTCTTGATGACTTGTACTCCTCGTCTGTTTCTTCCTCGGTCTCTTCATCCGATTCGTCGCCGTAGTTGTCATCAAGGAGGTTCTTGTCGTCATATAATATCTGATCTGCCTCTTCCCAAGGTCGATGGGACTTGATCAGTCTTGCCACTGCATGATGTCCCTCTTTCTGAGCAAATCTGATCGCTCGGACGTACTGAGGACGACCACTACCAACAGTCTCAACCCCAGAGTTGAGGAGTAGCTGAACAACATCCAATTTACCATGCTTCGCGGCGCCTTCCAACGCTGTTCGCGCGAAGGTCCCTCCTGGGGCATTTGGATCTGCCTGGAACTCCAATAATTTGCGCACCAGACCAAAGTCACCCTTCATGGAAGCAAATTGCAAAGCAGTGACGCCGTTAGGGCCATGAGAAGCGTTGATGTCGGCACCAAGCCGCAGCAGCGTCTCCACTAGAGGCAGATTGACCTTCACAGTAGCCGCCTCTACAGGCGTCACAACAAACACATCGCCCAGAAGATCTCTACTTGACAGGTTAACATCGACACCTGATTCAATTAGCCATTTAGTGACATCGTGACGTCCCCTGATGATTGAAGCGGAGAGTGTGATCGGGGTCATCTCCACATCAAGGCTATGTAGCCATTGAAGATGTTCAAGACTTGGGCAGCCGTCGGAATCGGGATACCGAACAGTCCGGTGGTATCCATGTTGTCGTAGCAAAATGAAAAAGTCAAGTCCTCGAGCTTTGGAAAGTTCGAGGGCCATCCCCAACAGGTCATGGACCAAGGGCTGAATAGTCAAAATGCCTTGACGCCATGATACATAATTTTCTGGCGCTCGGACATGTCCCTTTTGTAGACGGAGGTTGTCACCAAAGGACCACATAGTCCAACACTTCTCTGGTCGCAGCCCCAATGCCAGCATCAGCTCCACACTTTCGGGAACCCCGAATAGTGCTGCCAAGTACATCGCTGTACCTAGCCAGAGGTCCTCCGACTGCGATATAACTGAAATGTGATCCAGGAGAAGTTTGAATATGCTGAGATCAGAAGTGGATTTGGCAACAAATATAGCCGCGCAGAGAGAAGACGCGATAGCAGCTTGTGAGCTGACATTGACAGTCCGCGAGATCAGAACCCTGTCTTGTGCGAGAACCGCAGCCTCCAGGATCGAGAGTGTGCCAGGTATAGTTAAGGTCTCCTCGAAAGATGCTCCTTTGGCGAGAAGTTCGCCAACAACCGCGTCTTGGCGGGATGCAGTTGCCATGGCCAGCTCGCCTCCGACCAAATTTGCTCCTGCTTCGAGGAGGAAGATCGCATTCTCGCCCTTGCCTCCAACCAAAGCCGACTGCAGAGCAGTTTTCCCAATATAGGTTGATTCGAGTCCCGTCACGAATCCATCCTTCAAAAGGCACGCAAATCTGGAGTTTGAAGGATACTGGTAGTCAATCTTTGCTCCATGCCGCAGCATCTTCTGAACCATGTCTGCATTAGACACATAGGCAGCGTATTGAAGGGGAGAACAAGAAGTCATGATCGACGACGGTGGATCGAGAGAAGCCCCAAGGTGAATGAGGCGTTCCAAAAGCTTCGTATCTCCGACCTCAATAGCAGCCATTATCGGTGTAGCATGACTTTTGTTCGTGTGGTTAACATAAGCGCCAACATGTTCACGGTCCTCTGAGAGTAGTGTCAGGACAATTCTGTTGCGTGATCTGATAGCTGATACGAGCAGTTCCGTCTTTGATGCTGGGGTACGAAGCCTTGTTCGAAAAAATTCGAAAACTTGTTCAGCGATTGGGCAGGCCTCGACGGAAGCGATCTTTTCGATCAGTTTGCAAGCCTCTTCATCGTCTTCCTGGAAGAATACGAAATTCGATAGAAGAGTGGACATTGATACCAACGTCGAGCTGGGGGTATTCCGGTATTCCCAAGCTGACTGTATCAGTTCCAAATTGCTACTTTGATGATTGGGGCGCGACTCATTGAGTAATTGAATCAAGGGCCCGTTGTTCGTAAAGATTGCATATTCGAATGCGGTTGCCGCCTTGGAAATTCCATACTGTGAGAGGATTCGGTTCATGGCTTGATTGGCATCAACACCCATTTGAACCAAAGACCGGACAAGCCCAAGATCGGATCTTAGAATAGCTTCCTTGAACAGACGGTCCAGCGCCGATTGAATGCTCACTGGAAGATCAGTGTACTGCTGCGACATCAAAGCCGCCCAACCGTCAGTTTGGGGCAACACATCGAGCAATACTTCGATGACCCTATCATGCTCTTCACGATAGGGAATACCCCTGTCAAGAAAGTTGTTGGACAAGAGAAACAACATCACCTGAAGAGAACCTATGATGTTGCTGCCATGCTTGGATGACAGGAGGAGGTTTTCGGCGTGGTTCACATGGTCTTGTTGGAGCTGCTCGGGCATTATCAAGGAAAGTGCCTCAAATGCCGACTGGAGCCTATCTGTATGGTTGGTTTGAACTAGAGGACGTCCAGTTGCAAACACGAGAAGCTCTTCGCCTGGAAGCCGGAAATGTTTGCCGACTCGGCCAGGCACCGAAACGTTGAAGTCTTCAAGGCATGGGTTAGTATCCGAATGAATGTCAAAAGTTTGATATCCCAGAAGACATCAGCAACTAAGCATACCTTTGATAAAGTGTCTGGCTGTTAACCAAGGAATTCCGTGCATGTTGTCCACTTCGGGATCTCTATGGGGAGATGGTGACCGTATGATCAGCGATAGATCTGTTGGCGACGGTGGTGCAACAACTGACCACGGCTGTTAGAACTCGATAGTCCGCAAACCAGGAACAATACAGCAGTGAAGTGACAACTAACCTCCCATGCTCTTTTCTAGGGCCGTCTCGTAACAATGGCGAATCCTTGCCTTTTCAACCGTCTCATCTCGCAGCCGGATGCCTGAAAGATACACCCTGCTTTCTTTACCTGCGGCGCGGCGGTTGCGAATGCGATGATGGACATATCTCCATTCCGAAGTGGTCATCTTCTTGGTCATGCGCCATTGCGTCAGCTTCCACTCGAGCTGGGCTTTACTGTAGGTATGTTACTATACTGAAATTGCAGAAGCGATTTGAAGCCTAAAGCGCCCCTGGGACTGGATGCTCTGATAGACAGCTGAGAGAAGAAAACGGATAACTAACCTCGGCCGGAAGCCATAGGACACGCTGAGGACTGTCAAGAGGTCTTTCAGACTCTTGTCTTCAGTAAGGTACATCCTCCGGATATCCGGCTGGAATCTCTCCCACTCCTCGTCTTTGATATCACTCTTCCTGGCTCGAGGAGGCATGCTGATGGCTTTTGGTACGGTGCGTATTCCGATAAAAGATGCGAAGGTTGACTTAGAGGAGGGCAGTCCGCGCATCTGGTCGTTATCCTAGACCCGAACTCTGGAAACGAGAGGTGGCGGTGCATAACTCTCGCCTGATCGCGTTGGAGCGAGCACATTGGGGCTTTTGTATGTCATTCGTGAGCCTGGATGGACGGCTGTCATGATTGGCCTGTACCGAAATCTGATGCGCCAGCCTGCTTGTTGGGTGTCGGTGGCAGAGCATCTCGAAGCGGACGGGGTGCCCAATGCCAATGATTGGTTGTCGCCGGATTCTGGTTTCCGCATCAGCAGCGCTGGCGTATCACGGTCGCAGCTGAGATGCACATCGATGCCGAGTATGCAGGCTGAGCTGTCGTCTGGGGACCAGCTCAGTTGGTGGTCGGAAATGAGGCTGTGGGATTACGAAGCTGTTGCATTGCGAGGATGGTGGTTGAAACGATCCAGTGAGCCAGCTCGAGTCCATTCTCCTGCTGACGGGAAAGTTGTCTGAGCATCACGATATTGGATGCCATAATACTGGAATGTGATGATGCTTCGAGGACTAATAAGATAATGAGGCCGACGACTGAACATAATTGTATAAGAAACCCCACTTCGTTCATCCAGCTCGCCAAAATGAGTCGAGGACAGACCAAGCATGGCAAAGCAGTGTCGATACTTCCTGTCTTGGTGGAAGCTATCGCGAAAGCCCCCACGTGAAGCGAGAAGGAAAGTGATTGCCATTAGATATCCCGGTCTTCAGTAGAACAACTCCACCGTCGATTGCTGTTCATGTGCAAACCGCAAATCGGCAGCTGCAGCAGGCCGGCCCTTGCTTTTGGGTAGGTAGATATGTACCTGTAGTTTATCAGGGCGCATCCAATCAGTAATTCGGGTTTAGCTCCGCCCGTAGCAGCAGCAGCCAATTTGGTGGTCTGCCGGGGAGGGAGCCACTTACACCGATTTCATTAACCTCTTCCCCCCGTTCTGAGAAAAAAATTTGTCGAAAATCAAACTCGTCTCTCGAACATCACTGGAAGTAGTTTCGGGGGTTCTTTCCCAAAGCGCATTTTGACACTCACCGGTCCCCGTTCCAAATGTCCCAAGAACCCCAGTAAGTACATGAAGGCCAGACTGGCATCCGAAAAAAAGAGTTGCTTTTGACCCTGCGCCGCGCGCTGCAGCGGTAAGCGTGGCGAGTGCACTGCGTGGTGGCCTGCTGCCAGTGCACAAGCTACGAAACATAGGCTGCTAACCCGCCCTCCACGGCACCGCAACAACTTCACTTCCAGCCGATAACTGGCTCGGTACGGCTCAATGGTCTAGAGGTATGATTCTCGCTTTGGGTGCGAGAGGTCCCGTGTTCGATCCACGGTTGAGCCCCAATCTTTTTTTCCTCTTGACTTTTTCCCTCCGTGATTTCTCTTTTCCAGTGACAACGGGATTAATGGCATGATTGCGGATGCATGGGATGATTGCGCACAAGAGTTGTGCTGCGATCCGCATGCACGAGACGGATACGAGGCTGCGAAGTCTGTCTGCTCCCCATTCATTCCGTTGGAGTTTACGGATCCGACGAAAGCACGGCGGCAAGTTAGGTGAAGATCAACAGGCCAGTCGAGATGAACGGCCACCGGCAGACGAGGGAGGGCCCATCGGCGCCAATTTCAAGCAATCTCGAGCCACGGATCCAACGTTTGACCTTTTGGTACCCGCTGATTGTCTCTTTCCCGCCCATTCCCTTTCCTTTCTTTCTTTTTTTTTCTTTTGCTTTCTCGAGGGGTGGGAGCTTCTCCCTCGGCCCCGAACCAGCCTAGCGGCACGCGGGCTGGCTTGAAGGTGGTGTCGGACCCCTGGAACCAAAAACCCCCCCAACTCTTTTTGGGGAATGACGGCATTCCGTCAGATGTCGCGTCTGCGCCTGCGCGTGCTTCGCTCGCACAACCTGCAACGAGCCAATGCAGCAGGGCAATCCTGGATTCCGCGGGAGAGATGGGGCGGGAGAGGTGACGGGCGTTGATAGGGACGGATGGGGGAACAGGGCTGGGGCGAAGAGATGGGTTTAAGATAAAAAACTTGGCCGCGTCTGCAGCAGCGGGCGGGCGAGCGAGCGAACAAGCAGAGGAAGCAAGCAAGCAAGCAAGCAAGCAGCCCCCCGAAAAGCAGGGTTTCAGCATTCCCGGCGTCCGGCCATCCTCTTCATCAAACTTCGGACTTGCAGGAGCTCTTGTTCTTTGCGATACGAAGAACGCTGTGCGAACCTCGGATGATGGGATGCTATTAAATGCTACAGAGTGCTGCAGAGGAGCTCTCTTGTCCGCCCTTTGGTGACTGCGGATGGCAGGCAACCTCGTCGTGTTACATGGTTTGGGCGATGACGGCGGAGGGAGAGAGAGAGAGACGGAGGGTCGCATGCCTCCGCCGCTAGTCCTCATCTCTAGAGTTGCTGACTTGCAAAACGGGATGCGATGATGATGGACAGTCAGTCAGTTCCTTGGCCAGACGTTTTGCTACTGCAGCCGGCTGCAGAGTTGGCGGCGAATACTCAGTGAGAGAGGGTGCTGAGCTCAGAAAAGGTAGGTATCCACTCGCTCATTCACTCAGTCACTCGTTCGGTTGGTTCATTCGTCCATTCGTCCATTCGTCCCTTGTCGTGTGCGGCAGGATAGGGATGGCAGCTGCAGCACAGCCGCCACGACATGTATAGTACCTAATTTGGATGGGAAGTTATCCGTAGGCAGCTCGTGTACCGTACCTGTAGCAGATCCGAGTGGGTCCCCTTCTACCCCCCATTGATTGTCACTGCCTCAGCCAGGCTTCCCTTCCCAGGGCGGTAATGCAGCCCCATTTGATCCGAGATACGTAGTTTAGCTCTCTCTATCTGCCGCGCCCTGCGCAGAAGGAACGATGTACATCGTACAACCGTGTGGTGCAAGGATCGCGGGACCCGGGCAGCGACGGCAGGAGCAAGAGCAAGAGCAGCAGAAGCAGCAGGAGCAGGAGCAGCTCTTTCCCTTGGAACCCGCTCACTCCACGGCCTCCGCTCTCGGCTGCTTCCTCCTAAATGATGTGCTGCCGGTGTGGGCAGGGCCAGGCCAGGCCAGGGTCATTCATGCCAAGCATACCGCAACAGTCACACTGTTTGTGCCACCTACTTCGTACCCTATGCTATGCTGTGCTATGCTGTGCTGAGACGACACGACCCCCTTCCCTGGGCGTCTATTTCTATCTCGAGACCCCAGCCCAGCATCGTCGCCTGTCTTCCCTTTTTTGATTTCTCTTTTGTCTCCTCCATACCTCCCTCAGAAGACTGACCGACTGCTCTCCCCCTCGTCGCAACCAGTCAGTCCCCTACGGAAGGCCCGTCTTTTCTCGCCGGTAGCTCTTATCAACCACCACTGCTTACGCTGTCGCACGACGCTCCAACACACCACCTGCCTCTGGAAGCTTGCGTCCGCGCAATCAATCCGTCACCATGCCTGGAGTTCGTGAGTAACCGCCTTGCCCCGTCCTGCCCGTCGAGGCATCACATCACACATCGAATCTCCCACAGACGGACCCAAACGACCCCGACCGCGAATGCCAAGAAATGCTCACTAACACGGTCCTCTCTCCAAACAGCCATCGACGCCCTGGACAACCTCAAGTCCAAGTTCAAGGCCATCTTCAAGAAGAAGGCCGACAAGAAGGCCGAAGCCCCCAAGCCCGCCGAGTCCAAGCCCGCAGAGACTCCCGCCGCCACCACCACCACTCCGGCCACCGAGCCCACCAAGACCGACGCAGCTCCCGCCGCTGCCCCGGCCAGTATGTTTTCCCATCCGGCGTCCCTTCCGTTCTCGGTGAAGCGGCCACTGACAAACAAACCACAGCCGAGCCCGCTGCCCCTGCCCCCGCTGCTGCTGCTGCTGCTGAGCCGGCCAAGGCCCCCGAGCCCGAAGCCAAGAAGGACGATGCCCCGGCCACTACCGAGCCCGCCAAGGCTCCCGAGCCTGGTATGTTGAAATAGACACCCCGGCCGCTTCGAAACTGCATGAACTGACAATTCGCTTCTCAGCTCCTGCCGCCCCCGCTGCCCCTGCAGTAGCCGCCGAGGCACCCAAGGCACCCGAGCCCGCCACCGCTCCCGCATCTGAGCCCGCCAAGACCGAGACCCCCGCTACCGCTGCTCCGGCCGCCGCCCCGGCTGCCGAGACCGCCCCTGCGCCTGCGCCTGCGCCCGCCGCTGCTCCCGCCGCCGCCCCCACCGAGGCCGCCAAGCCCGAGGAGAAGCCGGCCGAGGAGAAGAAGGAGGCCACCGCCGCTTAGACGGCGCTGCCGAGTGTCTAGCATCTGGTCCTGCGAAAAAAGAAAAAAATAGAAAAAGAAAGTGTCCGGCTGCCGTAGCGGGTGAGGCAGACGGAGTCGCAGACTACGTTTACCGCCAGTCAAGCCGCGGCAGCATATCACGGAGAGGGGGAGGGGGATGCAAGCGGAAGGAAATTGCATGATTTTTCTTGCTTAGACCTTTGGTTGGTCTAGTAGGTTCATTTGCTTAATTGTCGGATACCCATTAGTCTAGTAGTCGAATCAAGCGTGCCTTGCTTACACTGTTCCGAAGGAGTATAAGCCGCCCGTGCTTTTTGAATGAGTAAATGCCGTGACTAATCCGTACCATCAACACAGCTGCAAGCTGTTTTTTCTCTTTCAATTGCCAGATTTGCGTGAAACCAGCAATTGGAGCAATACAGGGGAAACGCGGGTGCGTTCGTTCATCAGCGGGAAGCCCTCTGGCGCAACATCTCGGGTTAGAACGCAGCAGCTCTCCAGGCTGCTCGAGATCTTTGCTCGGCCACCCCCCTTTTTTGCCCCCCCTCCTCTCAGATTGATGCTGGCGCTCGTCCCTCCTCGACGGACCTAGAGGCTCCCTTTTTTTTAATCATACTCGGAAACGACACCAGCGGAGCGGACAAGTCGTCATCGTCGTCTTCATCTCATGGTGCTGAACCCTGCTCACTTGGCCCACGGCGCCTTGGTCAACGTGATCTGCGCATCCGTCGTGCCGGCCCCGCTGCCCTGCCTGGCCTGCTGCGCGCCGGGGGGCATCGGCATCATGCCCGGACCGGGCGGTGCCCGCGCCGCCGCCGCGGACGAAGGTCCCGACGGTTGACGCGTCGTGTAGGGGATGCCTGCGCCGCCCGGCGGCGGGGGCATGCGGCCCGGCGCCCCGGTCGCCCAGGGCGCCGCCGTTCCTGCGCCCTGAGCGGGCGGGGGCGTGGTGGTTGCGGGGTAGTTGTACGACGGCTGGTTGGCGGCGTGGACTGACTGCGAGACGGGGGCGGCGTCTGGGTCCTGGTCCCAGGAGAAGAGGGAGCCGAAGGTGAAGTGCTGGACGACGGGGAACTTTTGGAGGACCTCTGCGTTGAACATTTTAAGCATGCCCTGCGGGAAGGGGAAGGGGGGGGGGGGATGTCAGCGCGCTTCCCGTTCCTTGGTACGGCCCACACAGAACCGGGTATATAGACCCTTACCTTGTTGATCTTCCCCCACCCGTCCTTGACGCCCGACACGTCAAAGAGGATGGGGCTGTGCTCCCAAAAGGGACCCTTTTTCACGTCGTTGATGAAGCCGACGGCGGAGAAGTACATGTTCTCGGACCGCTGGGCCTCGACGACGGCGGGCTTGACGATGTCGCCCGTCTTGGGGGCGCCGCGGACGGAGCCCTCGGTGGGCATGGGGTCGGCGTCAGAGGTGACGGGGCTCGTGAGCTGGGCGGAGCCGAAGATATAGGGTAGGAAGGAGTGGTCGTCGAGGCCCCAGACGCCGTGGGAGCCGGCGGGCTCGAGGGTGTAGGTGAGGATGAGGCGGCGGACGACGCGGAGGTAGGGCTCGACGACGCCGAGGACGATGGTGCGGTCGAGGGCGGCGGTGTCCGGCTCGCCTGAGGCGGCGGTGGGGGACGCCGGGACGTCGTCGGCGAAGTAGGAGAGCTTGTAGAGGGAGCCGAGAAAAGCGAGGAAGGAGAGCTCGTGGCCGGTGCCGTAGTCGAGGCGCTGCGGCGAGCCGAAGGCGCCGAGGAGGTAGGCGAGGAGCTCAGACGAGGGCGGGTCGGAGCCCGGCGTGGTGGGGAAGGAGAGGACGGAGTCGGGAAGGTGCTGGGCAAGCAGGGCGGGGGCTCGCTCGGCGAGGAGCTCGTGCCACTTGCGGAAAGAGACGTTGCCGAAGCGGCGGGGGCCCGGGTCCGGGGGCGCGAGGTCGATGAGGGACTCGGCGGCGGCGAGGAGGTTCTGGAGGGCTGCGATGGAGGGCGGGAGGCGGGCAGGGGGCGGCAGCGAGGTCAACGGGTAGGTCGTGGCGGGGCCGCCGCCGCCGCCAGGCGGGCGGCGAGGGCAGAGGGAGCGGTTTAG